AGTCCAAACGGATCGAACCGCCTGTAATGTATTCTGCAGCTATTTTACTGTACAGTTAAATCTATGCAAGCTTCTACTTGAGCAGAGCACTTAGGAGTGCTCCCCCTCCCCTCCCATATGCTCACTGCATTTGTTTTCTTTAAAGAACACTCAGAATTCTGTAACACCCCTTTGTGAAGAAACAGCATTTGGTTTTGTCTTACAAAGCATCAACACCTTCACCCCTACACTATTTACTCACCACATCAAAGGTACAACCCAGCGAACAGTTGTATCTGCTATCCAAGCGTTCAAAAGCTCATGCTAAACCTGTTCTCAACTGTATGGCAGCTCAGTATGCCCTGCCTGGGCCAGGATGCTCACAAATCTGCAGCTGACCTGCCAATGTTTCCTTTTTAGCCTCACGACTGGTTGTAACACAAAACGAGCTGACAAACCCCGTCTGTAATACGCTTCCTCCAATTCTTCAACCTGCTAAAAGATGTAGTCACTCTAAAGCTACTGAGCTGCTGCATCTTTTCTGGCAGAGCAATGAGAGACACAGACTCGGCAGGACCCCTTACAGTCAAATCGCTGTTAACTTCACAGTGCTTAGTGATCTGGACAGCAAGAAGCATCTCTGGTTGTCAGGTTCTCATATGTGTGACACATTCATGCATCATCCCCTACTACTAACTTCAGGGAAACAATGATCTGTCAATTCACATAGGAATGATGGGGAAAAAAATTCTGCAGCAGGGGAAGGACAAAAGAGACTGGGGTTGTGCAACCTGATCAACTTAGGGGAACACATTTAATTATTTTCAAGGCATCTGTAACGCCAAAAATCTGTGCAGCAGTACTTCGCTGTGGAACTGTCTACCCTGGAAGTGACAAAAGCTTTTGTTCCAAATTCTTCAAGACAAGGAGGTTGTTCAATGAACAAGAGCAATCCAGAGCTCCTGATGCCCAAAGAGCTACTTATAGATATTTGGGCATCAAAAGTGGTCCAGTTCTCACTGAGGGGCTGGCAGAACTATGAATTAGTAGGAATATCGACCCCAGGAGACAGCTTTTACCTCTAAGGGCAGGATTCTCTTGCAATTTCTTCACCACTTGTTTCCTAGTCTGCTTTCATTGCTTGATGCTGGTTTAGCAAGCCCTAAGCTTGCTCTTGCATGTACTGGTAAGTAAATACCAACAATGTTCAGCAATGTTTAACTGCTGCATCAAGTCCACCTTCCTCAAATGCCCTCGTGAATTGTGTTTCTGCTAAACCAGTCACCCCTCGCTAGAGCCACCAAGACTGACAGAGGAACCACTCGGCATGAGTCTGCAAGCACAAGCAGCGGGGAGACAGAAGAGCTGCAAGAAAAACTGACTATGGAGCAAAGTAGGGGAACTGGTATCCCAGGGCGCACTATGGTCATAATGTATGAGGCAGTGAACAGAAGTCGTGCAGCTGCTCCGTTCAGCTCTTCACATCTTCTGCTGATGATGCACGTACTTGCAGGGCACATCACGCAGTGAAAAGGCAAGTGAATTCTAGAGGAACGAGCTGTATTACTGTTACCTGTCATCAACTGTTTGCCGGTAAACTTCCTACTACAAAGCAAGCCCTTAATAACACTGCTATCTTCCCTGCAACCAAACCTTTAATAACCCATTTTTATGTGGTACATCACAATTAAAAACCCCACAAGACAATCTGCCATAGTACTAAAAAGCGTCAGCGTACATATACCACGTCTTTTGTGTTCAGCCTTCCATGAACTAAAAGCCTGCTGACTGGAGAGACTGTAAATTACACATAGATCTACCCATTTTTAAAAAAATGTTAACATGTACATGAGACACAGCTGGCCTTTAACAAAAACTGGACATTGTGGGAAAAGAAAGAGTTACAAGTATTATGTTTAATGCTACACTTAATTCTCTGCGAAGAATACAGAAGGGAAGTGAGATGAAGACAGATTTCACCATCTGATTTGCAGTCTAACAAAGTACTGAAATGCATTTGGAATTCTTTCTTTGAAAAAGATTCTTCATTTCTGCCAGGGTGAGAGATGGGCCCAACCGCTACGATCAGCACACATGCAAATTCACACCCCCATTTCCACTAATGCTTTCACAGCTGGGTAACACAGCGCTCATGCAACTCAAGCTCTTGCTTTTCTCTGCAGAGAGAGTTGGACTTGACATGGAAATACTACGCAGCTAACAGTGGACTCAGCTAATCCAACGGCACATGTTTTATAATGCAAACTCTGTTTCTACACCCCTAGATACAAAACCTCTAAACCTCACTCCATGGTTGAGTAAAAACACAAACAGCATAGACCAAAGTGCTATACAGTTATGTCAACAATGACATTTTATACCTGTTTCAAAGAAATGGCTTATAAATGAGCAGATTCATACAGAAGAAGAAACTTCTTGTGCCCAGAAGTTTCCTAACGTTATTTATTAAAAACAAAAGAGCCAAAGATTGCCCT